AGTAGAGTGGTGATATCCTGTTTGATTGTTGTGACTATTTTGAGCAGTCGTTTCCTGTGATGATTGAAGTTAGAGGTGTTTGTTAAATCTTCGTTAGTCATTGATGCTTTTAGGTGTTTAAAAGATGACTACAGCTGCTCTTGCTGTTGTTATTCTATGTCAGGTAGAATGCAGGATGGTACTGTCTTCTGTTGCTTCATAATGTTTCATGTTATTACGATGGGATTTTTAATAATTCTTTCAGTACCCCAATCACATTTTGAGTTGATGTTATGCTGCTAACCATCTTCTCTAACGCAATAGGAGAAAAGTGTTCCTCGCCAAGAAGGCAAGAACAATTTAAAAGCAGAAAATTTAGGAGTTGAGTTTGCTGTCTCCTGTTGCCTAAGTGATTTAGAAAATAGTTGAAAAGCTCAAAATTCGTATTTTTCTCTGTTAATATTCAAGTGACTCTATTTTATTTTACTTGCTTTCTGAGGTATAACGTGTCCAAAAGCATAGTGAATGTTTCATAATCTGTTTAATAATAGTTGTATACACTGTGATTGTCGATAATGTAATAATGGAAGAAAATTGTTCTAGCTTTTCTGTTTTTTTTTTTTGTATGAAATAAGTGGCTCATAATAATTACTAAGTTTTATATCCCTTTTCCTCACTTACATTTTGTGCATGTGTCTGCACATATTCTCACTCGCATCCTATCATTTTAAGACTTGACCATTTTTGAGCCACTATTTCAAGAGTTGTAGATCGTGTTTATTAGTATTTTCTGGGTTGCTGTATTCAGTTATGAGTTCCTAATGGATGAATTCTCGCCAACTTTTTAATTATTTTTGGTTTGTTTTATTCAGATACTCCGGCTTGTTTATTATACTTGGTATAATTAAGTATAATAAGTTTAATGGGTTGCCACTATTAGTTTATAAGAAGTGACCATTTTTGTCTGCTGTTCTAAAACTTTTTTCAGTATTTCATGGATGACTGCTTACAAAGACTTGTCGATAAAATTGAGTCTGATGAGAGTTTAAAAAATTTGACACCAAGTGATTGCATCTCTAAGCTTATCAGATTTCGATTAGAAATGCAAGCTCCATATATATCAACATGGCCTCATGCTCTTAGCATTCAGGTAGCCTAGTCCTTTTTCCCTGGTTAGAGGCTTACAAATATGAAGTGTAGATCTGAAAGAGTTTCTGGGAAATATTTTCTTTACAGGCGCAACCTGCAAATGTTCCTACAAGTTTTAAGCAGAGAGCAGTTCTTGTGGATGAGATCTGGCATGCTGCGGGTGATAAGGCCTCTGACATTGATTGGTATGCCAAGCGCACTATCCTTGGAGGAATATACTCGACAACTGAGATTTATATGCTGACAGATAGCTCTCCTGGTTTGTTTTTCTTGACTTCCCTTTTAAAAAGACACAAGCATTCTTATAATTTGCCAATAGTGGTTTTCTATGATCATTCATTTGAGTCAACTTCTGGTTCTGTGATTGTAACAACCATTTGTTTTCTTGAATCAAGACTTCTGTTTTCTCGAATGAAGACTTCTGTTTTCTCGAATCAAGACTTTTGTTTTCTCGAATCAAGACTCCCCTGTTTGCTTCCATGACAATTTATGAGGATTAATTTGATAACTTAACTGTTAGAAAAAAAAAAAGAATTTTATCGCCGTTCCATTCATATTTTTTTTGGTGGCATCTGTACATTGAATAAATGGGGGTTGAGACCCTGCTTATAGCTTGATGTGGTAAAGCTGTGACGACTTTTCTCAATTTTGGGGTTCGTTTTCTGGTAGATTTCCGCGATACGTGGGCTTTCTTGGATGCTCGAGTGAAAGATGCCTTTAATATAAAGAAAACCATTCAAGAGGTAATCCTCATATTGTTACAGTGATTGGTCCATAAGTTTTTCAAATTTCAATTATTTCGAAATATTATGCTTGGTGAATTCCAGGATTCTCAGTCATCATAATTTTCAGGCACAGTCTTTGGCAGAAGCTGTCAGCGTCGGGCTGGGGAACTCCTTTCAAGGATTTTTCGGGAAAGGTTTCCAGAGATGAGTCATGGCGGGAAGATGTGCAGGTGGTAGGCACTTGTTCCTTGTTTCCTCAAACAATGTTTCTGAGGCATTGATTATATTTACACTAAACTTACCACTTAAAAAAAAGTTATATTTCATGTGCTTCAAATTTATATGCCGCCTTGGGCCCTTCACTCAAGGCTTGAGTTCCAGGGTCGTCACTGCTCACAAATTTTAGGCTTGTAAATAATCTCATCATTTCATAATTAAAGAATCTCCTTTCTCACCCAAAGAACTTTGCTTATTTCTGTGA